CTACACCCAGTTTTTAAAATGTAATGTTCTATATATTTCTTGCTCTCACCTGTTGTACGGAGGTTGGATGCCTGCTGTCCCAGGGAGCTCATCCCAAGGCGGGATGCAGAGGGAGCCAGGAAGAGAGAGCAGGAGGTGGGAGCAGCCACCTGTGGGAAGAAGCTGCTGCCGGGCAGGGCAGGAGGTTTGGTTGTTCCTTAAGGAAATTCCCCCCAGTTTGCACCATTCCACATACAGAACAGACCCACTTCACATCAGTTACAGGAAACGATATGAATGTCACAGGAGGAGAAACCCTTCTGTTTTCTTTGTTTCAAAGAACGTGATGTGCCATTTGTTAATATAAAAGAGAAATATTGAAAATATATTGAAAAGAGCAATTTTAAATTATTTTTGGCTTATGTTGCAATATTTATTTTCTTGTATTAGAAATTCCTTTGTAGAGAAAAAATGTATTTTTCATTAATGCAAAAACCTATTTCTCCTTTTTGTACATTTTCCATGTTAGTTAATCCTTAAAGCAATATAACGTTATCAAACTCGTTCTGTGTGAGACTGTATTATGCATGCTATTTGTGTTGCCTTGGAATAGCTCTGTCTGCCATTACTTTCATCCTGTTTAGATACAGTGTATGCTTTAATACACATTGGGACCATGGCCCATTGCTTATGAAAAAAAACAAACCCCTTTGCATTCCTCAATGTGTTGGCAAATGCAGTCAATAAAGCAGTGTTTTCTGTGTGCCTGTGTCGGTGACGTGAGCGAGGGCAAGAGGGGACAATTTCCCTGGGGAGCAGAAGGGCCCTCGGAGCATCCCAGGGGATGCAGCTCTGTGGGGATGGGGAGGCTGGTCCTCCCCTGTTGATGCAGCCAGGATAAACAGCCAATTTCTAGATTTCTTGTGCATTTCTGTTTGCATTTCCATCATCAGGCCTCGGGGAGCATGGCCAGAGGTGTTTGTCAGTGCTGGAGGGGGGAACCAGCAAGAGGGAGCTCTCAAGTCCCCCCGTGCCTGAAAGTTTCTGCAATTCAAGGTAACCACCTTTCTCTTGGGGATTTACATCCTGCCCTGCAGACTTGGAGTAAAACAGGCAGGGGAAGCCCTGCTGGGAGGTTCTGGGGAGCAGCCTCTTGCAGGGGGATCGGGGATGACGTGCAGGGAAGCGCTGGCACGTTTGTGATTCACAGGAGCAAAAGCAACCTGTGAAATCCAAGATACTACAGAAACGTGTTGCTGTTGGTTGGGAACTGCCTGTTTTCCTGCGTGAGGGCTGCTGGTGAGGGCTGCTGGCAGGCTCCAGGGCTGCCCCTCCATTGCAATCCCTCTGCCCAACATGGTGGGAGATCCAGGGCTCATCCCCAGCTTCCAAAACTACTGCTTGACTGGGACCCCCATCTCCCTGCACAGCAGCTCTGAGGCCACGGGTCAGGGTGTCAATTACTTCAGCAAATATTCAACCTGGTGGGGCCTGGGTGCTGGGAACCCCCCCTTGAGCGTGGGACCATTTAGCACTTGGGCACTTCCTCTGTGCAGGCAATTAGCCATAAGGAATCATTGGCCATCAGCACTTCTCTCTTACTTTTTGGCACTTCATGGCACCACATTGTCCTTCTCCCCTTCTCTTACAGCCCAACCTGAGAAACACTTCCCCAATAAAGTCACAAAAGCCATTCTCATCTTAAAAAAACCAACATATATATATGTATATATATATATGCACTTATAGCACATAGGGTTGTTTCCTTGGGGTTTGTCTGTGGTGCCCTTATCACAGACAGTGCTGAATACCTCGAGATGGAGTGGGCAAGAGAAGAATCATTTCAGCTTAATTGCAAAAAAAAAAAATA